CTTCCTTCTCGTTCTTCCCCTGGGTATTCACTAGCAGTAGTATATGCATATACCCTGGGTGAGTCCATTTGTGTAAAAAGGGGAGAACAACTCAACACACACACACACACACATATATATATATATATATGTGTGTGTGTTTGGGAGTTTTCTATTTTATATATTAGACGGTGTTATTTTTATGTATATATATATATATATATATATATATATATATATATATATATATAGACTCGTTTTTGAAAAAACCTCGAATTTTTGATTTGCTAATCAAATCAATCTCGAGGGAAAAAAGGTTTTAAAAAGAAAGAGCTACAAACATGAACTTCTGCTGACAAAAAATCGCACATGATGCAGGTCTGAAGCCCAAAGAAAAAACCCCCGATACGAGTAACAACTAACTAACAAAAGAGCTCAATACAACCGTAGAGCAGACCTAGATACACCTAGTGAGCCAGACAAACCTACCTAGGTTTCACCTAAACGGATCGTCAGAGAAAGTTTGGCGCCAAACTTTCCCTGACGATCCGTTTAGGTGAAACCCAAGTAGGTTTGTCTGGCTCACTAGGTGTATCTATATATATATATATATATATATATATATATATATATATATATATATATATATATATTTCTATCCATTTCTGTATATTTTAGTATCTTTTTTCCTCATGTTGTTCATTGACGAATATTTGTTTTTCTATTCTACGAATATTAAAGCTTATCTATTCAACCATTTTTATCTATATATATTTTTATATTTTAATAGTATATTAGAATTCGTTTAATAACACTTTCAAATTTGAATATTTCTTGGTGGCTGTATGGGCGTATCTATGTATGTGTCTTTGTCGGTCTGTGTGTATATGGTCGCTTGTGTGTACCTTTCACTGTGTGTGTATGTTGCGTATTTTTAAGATTCGTGGACACCTATTTCCTGTCTCGTCGCTTTTTCGCGTGTTTATATATCTAAATATTTTTACGTGTTTGTGTATTATAATCTGATTTATTCCAACTTAACTTCAATAAAAACAAAATAGATTAAAAAACATGTATTTTTCCTCAGTTTCTTCTTTAAATAATTTTATAATTTTAAACTTAATATAGATTAAATTTAATATTTAAAATGTGCATTTTTAATTTTTAATTTTATTGTATAATTTGATATTTGTTAATTAGAATGAATTCTATTTTAATCTAACCCTAACATTAAAGCATTAAATAATTATTATAACCAAATTTCGTTGTCAAGTTTTTTGAATTCTCGTATACTTGTATTTTGATTGGTCTCTCCAGCTTATATAACAGAGTTTCCCCTTAGCGAGGGGTGTTTGATTGATTTGAATCTTTTAAAACCCTTTATTCTACATTCAACACACCATCACTTGATAAGACACCAGAAGTGTTGAAACAAATATTTATGTTATAATTTTCGAATAGATAATTATATATATATATATATATATATATATATATATATAGCCAGAGCCAGAACCTACCTATCCTGATGACTCTGCCCAGAGTTATCCTGATGACACGTTATGTGAAAGCTAGATAGATTTCGGCTCTTTTAGGTTTTCTAGTTTTTGTCTATTTAGTGTATTGAGTACTTTTACATACCAACTTAGGTAACTCTGTAGGATTTTTTTTCTTCTGGCTAAACATCAAGCACTTCGGGTGTTTTTAGTCTTAGTATATATATATATATATATATATATATATATTGCTGAGTATGTAATAAATAGCAAGAATTGTATGTTTGATTTTAGTAGTGACCGCTTTTCGATTTTATCTAGGTCCCACTCCTTATATCACCTGAAGTTTCTTGAGTCATTGTATATCAGATTTCGTGGGCTTTCCGTTTGTAAACAGAGGGAATGCTTACAGGGTCTGAATGTTATTGAACTATTGAAATTCATATTTTTTCCTTCCATTCGATATATTAATTTAATTTAAATATTGATATCAAACAACCTGGCGAAGATTACAGTGGAATTTACTTTAGTAATTTACTTTAGTAATATATCATCTAACATTTAAATAATTGATAATATTATGGAAATAAATTTGAATACAAAAAGAATACAAAGGAAACCAAAAATCTTGAATAATAAAATTCAATATAGATATATATATTCGACTTTTCAAAAAAAAATGTAATTCAATATAATCGTCATCGAGATAGACACCTTGAGTTTACAAATGTCACTTCCTGTCCGGTTCAAGTAGGTCTCAGACATGTACGATGGTGAACTTCAATATATCCTTAATATTTTAGTCGCCTCCTCGACAAAGAACTAAAACATATAACGTGGTCATGAAAATTATTGTCCAGCAACTCTTGAGTTATGTGGATTTTGTCCGGGGATGTTATCATGGCTCGCATATTCGAGCATCGAGATCACCATTCTCTCTCTATATTCCCTTTCCCTCCCTTCTACTGATATTGGCGGAGATGGCTTTGAGTTTTGATGAATAACTTCGTGACGGAGAAGCCCACATACTTGTCCAGAAGCGCATTCATCGCGGTTTAAAGGGGATTGAGACAGTCGAGATCAGAGCAAAACTGGTTACATCTGGGTGTCGGACGCTTTGTTTGTCAGAGTCCACCTTTGTTACGCCAGATCGACTGGCGCTGCCCACTTCCGCCAGTTTTGAGATCGTGTAGATGTTTGTCTACTCCGACGTTGGTGTCTTCGGTGTTTGGTCACGTTCTTCGACCTTACTTCGACCTGCCCCAACATCAATTGGAACTCCAGATGGTTTCGCTCTTATGATCACTGGGACAAGCCCTCTATCATGACAAGTAACGATCATCTATATTTTACAAGGAGGATGTAAAGCTCTTCTGAAATAGGCACAGTCCCACCATCGATTCAGGTTCTATTAAATATGACTAGCACCTGAATATCGGCGTTGGCAATGATACAGAAGCTGGCGACTACAAGGATAATAAAAGACAAAGGAAAATGGTTCCACTAGACTTGCCGATCCTTCTGTTCACCTGGCCATTTTCAAGAAGCCATCTTCTAACTGATATAGGTGATGTCTTTTGTTACGAGTAAAGTGTGTCTATGTATTTGATAAAAAAATTATTGCAATCTACTATGGTAATATTCTTTGTATGTTTTAATGAGAAAAGAAAATGTTAAAATTTGGCGGTTGCCTTTATAGACCGCAAAATATATGTTCTTAAATACCTGGCGCATCATTCTGTTGTAAATATAAAGATGGTTTAATTATTTCACCCTAAGCAAAGCTCTAGAAAGAAACTGAGAAAATGTCACTGAGGAGTAAAGACAATAAAATGAACAAGATTTTAAGGATGCATCAAAAGAAAACGATTGATGCTGCATTTCAATTTTTTTTTATGATTGGAGTTGACAGGAAAACTAGAAGACGGAAGAAAATTCTACAGAGAAGAAATCCAAGAGAATTTTTCTTTGAATCAGTTCTTCATTTTTTGTTAAATCTTGGATGTTTTATGAATTTCCTTTTTGCAATGATTTCATCAAGTTTCTGTTGAATTTGGTTATATTGTAGTTAGTTTCTCTTTTAATATGTCTTTAGTATCAGTGAGTTCATTGTAGCATTTGTTAAGTTCACCTTTTGGAATTACTATTCATCTTACAATCGTTTTTCTTTGTTCCTGATCTTTATGATGTCATTTTCATTCACAGCTGCTTGGTCGTTTAGTTTGAATTGAGTGCCTGAACAGCAAGTGTTGATTAAAGTCAAACGAATGTTCTATGATAGCAATTTTTGTTTATTTTTTATATTTCTGAAAATTTCTTGTCTCCGGTGAGAATTTGAAGGTGAATGTTTCAAAAGCGGGGAGGGGGGTGTAATTTCAGGTATGATAGGTCAAATTAATACTTGTTTTCCTATGTCAGTTACATCGTTTTTTGTTGATCTTTGACCAAAATTGCTACCCAGATACAGGCAATCTCTCTTCAGTGCTTAATATCAGTGATAGAGCTAACATATAAGTTGTATTTGAATTTGTCTGATGGTCAGAGAAGCGTGATACCCAGGGTCACAAACTCATATCCATACAATTTATCATATATATATATATATATATATATATATATATATATATATATATATATATATATATATATATATATATATATATAATTGGTATATATGAAATGAATTCCAATAACAAATTTTATCTTCAACATCATCACTTGATAAGACACCGAGTGTGTTGAAACAAAATGGCTATTTTTGTAGTGATTTTCTAACATACTTATGTTATAATTTTTTTATAAATAATAATTATATCTGCTCTACTTTGTATTGAGCACTCTTTTAAGAATAGTAATTGTTGGTTATTGAATTCATTCCATATATACCAATTATATACTTGATATATATATATATATATATATATATATATATATATATATATATATATATATATATAAAGACATTTTTATGTTTATACATTCTTTTATAGATACAAATAATTAAGTAAATGCTCTGCTTTTGTATCTATAAAAAGAATGTATAAACATAAAATGTCTTAAAATAATTTTCGGATTTGTTCATTTCATAATATATATATATATATATATATATATATATATATATATATATATATATATATATATATGTCTCTGTGTGTGTGTATCTATCTATCTATCTAGCTATCTATTTTTCTTTTTCAGTCGGGTGTTTCTATCTCAAATTCTGATATCATTTATACATTTTGGTTATCAATAATGACGTATTTGTGGGCGTTGTACAGACATATCAATAATTTCGACTTATCTTTCACACGGAGAAGTTTGCCTTTCTGTCAAAGGACATATGTTAACGAATGAAAACTTACATAAATGAATAGCCACATTGACTCCTACGAATACTAACATATCTATCTATCTATCTATCTATCTATCTTTGTGGGGGGAGTGCATTAATCACAAGTATCTTTATACATGTTACATGTTATGTATTTTTACACTCGTGAGTTTATCTACGCTCGTTTCTAT